GAGAGAGAGAGAGAGAGAGAGAGAGAGAGAGAGAGAGAGGAAAATGGATGAGGTACAGAACTGCTGCTTGAGTACATGGGGTCCACTCAAGTCAACTATTTCCTCCCGTGGGTTTTTGACATTTTTCCACCTAGGAAAAAGTTATGAAGTTCTGTTGGTCTTGAATAAGATCCGTGTCACTCTTGCTGAGAAGAGATAGCCATCATGATAGCAGGGGCATCTTGAAGGACCTTGCCTCCGTCATGGGCTGTTCTCCGGACCCACGCTGACGCAGCCTTCCGCGCAGTGGCCAGGAAAGCTGGGAACAGGACTCCAACCGGGGATTGGCCCCATGACCCCACGCAGAACCCGCGCGGACCCGTTTACCATCCAGCGGTTCAACTACGCCCGCGCACATTTCTGAAGAACTTGGGCCGGCTCCGCCTCCGCCGGCGTGACAGGGCTCCGACTGGCCCAGCGGCCCTCGAAGGGGCGTGGCCAGGGAGTTGGAACCCGGAGGCGTGGGCGGCCCGGGGATTGGCGGGTGCGAGCTGTGACACTGAGCGGACCCACTGTTCGGTCGCGCGGGTCCCCCCGGGAGGTAAGCGGGCTATGGCGCTCCCCTCCCGCCCTCTACCCGGCCAGGACGAGGTGGCCGGAGGAATCTGCATCTGGGGCTCCACTGGAGCAGAGGGTGCTGGCTGCTGGCTGGCTGGCGCGGGCTCCTTTGCAAGCTGTTGACAGCAGAGACTCTGGGGCACCGAGTGCAAGGGCTGGGCGAGAGCTGTGAGCCCGGGGGGGGGGGGGGGGGGGGGGGGGGAGGAAGGAGAGTAGGGGGGAAGGGCCCTCCGCAGGGTGTGTGCCCGCACCTTGTCCCCACGACGTTCAGGGAGTCATTACTTGGCCTTGAGTTGGGAGGGACGGCTCTGCTGGCCTCTGATGTGGGATCCTGAAGAGTTTGAGTTTGCACTGGGGTTGGGACAGGGCCGGGACTCCTAGAGACACCTGAAGAGAGGTGTCGCCAGCCCTCAGCAGGAGGGAGAAACGACAGCCCTGAGTCACTCCGCAGCCTGTGCACTCGCCCAGAGGGTGCCGGCGTTGGTATTTGTCCACGGCTAATATCAGATTCCACAGGGCTAGAGGCCGCGGAGGAGGGGCGATCGGTGCTGGGGTCAAGACCCCCTGTGGTTTGTGTAAGCTGAAGTGTCTCATTTGCTGCGCGTCCTGCCCACGTCAGCCCTCAGAGCTGCCTTGAGTGGCTCGGCCAGTTGCCTGAGCACTGGGACCTGGCCAGCAGACTCTGGCCAAGGAAGGAGGGTTTTGGCATGGTGGCCTGCGGGGTGGGACCAGCCTCCCTGTGTGTTATGCGGTGGGAGAAGAAAGTCAGGAAGGAGTAGAAAAGACTACAGACCGGACTTTTCTGGTTCTGGGTGTGTATGTGTTTGTTGGGGGTGGGGGTGGGTGGGGGGTGTTTTATATGGAAGAGGGCATGCCTATCAGGAGTCATTCCTTTTCATCATGTGAGTTCCCGGGATGGAACTCACAGTCTCGGCCACAAACACCCTTAACCGCCTGAGCCATGTTGCCCTACTAGGCTTTTTTTTTTTTTTTTTGAGGTAAAGCCTCACTGTATAGCCCAGATTGAACGAGAACTCAGCCCCTCCCGCCTCATCTTCCCAGGTGTTGGATTACAGGCATGCGCCCTGTTTAGAGTTTGTTTGAAAGCTGAGCCACTAGCTGAGGTTCCAGGCCTTGGCTGTGAAGGGGCTTTTGAGCGTTTGTGGGGACTGAGTTAGGTCAGCCACGCTACATGCTTAACATTGTGCCTAGCAAAGTAGGTGCTGAGAAAGTGGTGGCTAAGGGCTCATTTCCCTTATTCTGTTCTCCTGGAGGAACGTCGTCGCAGTGACTGCATTGGGTGGCGCCACTCTCTTACTACCCTTGTACTAACTCTGGAATGCTCACACTGGCCTGTGGACCTGAAAGGCGATCCTGCGTGCCCCTATAATCTGACCCCTTCTCCGAGTGCCTCTCTCCTTCTTCCTGAGTTCAGGGCCCCAGACCTCTGAAGGGCTGTACCGCAGTGGGCAACAGGAGATAGCATCAGGACAGAGCCTGTGTGGTTGCCAGCCATATATATGCGTGTGCAAGGTGCCTTGTGCATTTTACACGTGGAAGGGGCTAGAGGGTAAAAATAGTTTAGGTGTGTCAGCCTGAATGCGATTGTATTTCACTAAGGCTGCATTTAAGAAGACTGGCCGTGGATTAGATTGGGTCTGGATTTTTAGTTCCCGCTTGAAGATCCCTCCTTCTTGGCTATCATGTGTTCCTCAGTGCTGGGTGTTTGGGTTGCTTCTGCCTCTTGGCTTTAGTAAGAACACACAGTCCTGTAGATATTCCTTCTAATCCCTGTGGAGGTAGACCCAGAGTGGGAAAGGTAAATGTGTTAAATATAGCTTTAATTTTTTTTTTTTTTTTTGAGGAGTCTTCAGGTTGTTTCCCATAGCAGCTATGTCATTATTTTTGTCGGGGTATATTTGCTAATTTTATGAGCGTTTCTACGTAGTACACCACATGCATACAGATCCCTTGGAATTGGTGGTACTGATGGCTGTGAGCCACCTGATGTGGGCGCTGAAAATCGAGCCCAGGTTCCTGCAAGAACATCAAGAACCACAGAGCCACCTCTCCAGCCCGTAGCTATAGCATTTTTACATTCCCAGCAGCCGTGCCCACCTTTGCCACTTTTCCCACTCTGGCACTCGCTGTGATTTCTTTGACAGAAGCTTTCCGGTGCGTGCGTATGAGGTCTCCTGTTTTTCCTTGTAGGTGGGCTCCTTTAGTGCTCTGAAATGTTGTGTGGTTTCTGCAGAAGTGACATTCCAGGTTTGCACCATCCTAGGGCCGCCCACATCAGTCCATCAAGTGTTCATTACTCCCGTTGGTCCATTTATCCATCCGCGTGTGTGTGAAGACCTTGGAGGCCAGAAGAGTGTGTCAGATCCCCTGGAGCTGGAGTTACAGGCAGTTGTGAGCCACCCAGTGTGGATACTGAAATCTAAATTCTGGTCCACCATTGGGTCTCCTGCCCCTGGGGCATTCTGGCCTCCTCACAGTGAGATGTTATCCATACCAGCCTCCAGCACAATGCCCGATGGCCATGGAGGTAACATGCTAGCACATTAAGGGACACAATTAAGTTTGTCAGATTGTCCCTCGGCCAAGAACTGGTGATCAGATGGCAGCATGGCTTGGGGTTGCAAAGTTTGAAGCCAACATCAGCAGACTAAAAACAGTTATTACATCAGGTGGTGTGGGCAGCACCTCTTAGGCCTTCAAGGGGCAAGTGAAACAGGACTGAAGAGGTTCGGTGTCTCCTCCTGGCTGACCTCTTGTCCCCACCCTTCCCATCCCCCACCCCCAGATTCCCACAGGCGGCCTCATAGAACCACAATATGGTGACCTGAAACCTGTGCGTGCATGAATGTGTGTGTGAGTGTGTGCGTGTGAGTGAGTGACACACGTACAGACCAGGAACCAGCTGTGTGTGTCTCAGCAGGTGCTTGCCCGTGGTAAGAGGGCAGGTCACTCCTGCTTCCTCCCAACAATTAAGAGCTGAGTCTCAAAGAGAAGTTCATGCCCATGGCACCTGCTGTGTGCATGGCGCAGTTTTAAGAGTTGTTGATGAAGACTTCTGTTCTGCTGGAGCGAAGGACTGAGTGGAGCAACACAAGGCACCCATGCAGTGACTGGACAGGAAAATACCAGCTTTTTTGCTGTTGTTTTGGGGTGCGTGTGTGCGTGTGTGCGTGCGTGTGTGTGTGTGTGTGTGTGTGTGTGTGCATGTGCATATATTAAGGCCAAAGACTGATACCTGGTGTCTTCCTCATTTGCTGCCCACTTTGTCTTTTTTTAAAGATTTACTTTACTTTTTAATTATTGGTACACACGTATGGGTGGTGTCTTAGTTAGGGTTTTTGTTGCTGCAATGAAACAGCAAGTCGGCAAGGAAAGGGTTTATTCGGCTCCCACTTCCACTTTGTTGTTCATCACTGAAGGAAGTCAGGACAAGAACTCAAACAGGGCAGGATCCTGGAGGCAGGAGCTGATGCAGAGGCCACGGAAGGGTGCTGCTTACCGGCTTGCTTCCCCTGGCTTGCTCACCCTGCTTTCTTATAGACCCCCAGACTACCAGCCCAGGGATGGCACAACTCACAAATGGGCTGGGCCCTCCCCATCAATCACTAGTCAAGAAAATGCCTTACAGCTGGCATTTATATCTTACAGAGGAATTTTGGAAATTGAGGTTCCCTCTTATCTCAAGTTGACATAAGCCTAGCCAGCACACGTAGATTTAAGCTGGAGTTAAGAAGGTTGGGATCTGGAAACTGAACCTAGGTCCTCTGGAAAAGCAGTATAGGCCCCTCTACTTTTTTTTTTTTTTTTTTTGAGAAATGGTCCCTCATTGAACCTGGCACTCACAGGTTCAGCTAGATTAACTGGCCAGCAAGCCTCCAGGCTCCTCTAATCTCTACCTCCCCGGTAGTAAAATACAGATACAGACTACCACACCTGTCTCTTTACATGGAGTCTCAATATCTGCTCTGGTGCTTACGCCGGTTGGCAACCTCTTTACAAGATGAGCAATCTCCCCAGCCCCAGCCCCATGACTAGGTCTTGATAAGTGTCATGAAGGGGAGACAAAAACAGAGTGTCCTCTTACAGAAGGGCATAGTGAATTTTTCTACAACAGTCCAGATTGTCAGGTTTTATGGCCGTATGAATTTCTGTCACCACTTAGTTTGGTCATACCATATGTATGAATATGCACGGCCATGTTACGATAAAATTTCATTTATAAAAATGGGCTCTGAGCCACACTTGACCTCTGGCCGGTTTGCCATCCCTGGAAGAAGCTGCCTGAGATGAGGTTAATAGACAGTCTTTCTGAAAGACAACTGAGAGCTAAGCTGGTGACAGACCAGGGCCAACACAGGATGTCCTGTTCCAGGTGAGGCAAGATGGCATGCTAAGAAATTTGTTGCGTAAGAAAGAGGAGTACATCAGGGTGTGATGGCACACACCTGTAATTCTAGCACTTAAGAAGGCAGAGGCAGGTGGCACTCTGTGAGTTCAAGGCCAGCCTGGTCTACAAATTGAGTCCAGGACAGCCAAGGCTACACAGAGAAATCATGTCTTGAAAAAAAAAAAAAAAAAACAAAGAAGGAAAGAAAGAAAAGAAAAAAAGAAAAGAAAGAGGAGGTTTAAGGATGAAGACTAGATTTGGAGTTTGAGCCACTGGGTGGATAGTGTTTCTGATGAGGGGGGCGGGGAGCTAAAAGGAGAGGGAAGGGGAAACATTGGGTTTGGTGTTGAGTATAAGATGTTCATTTGATGACTAGGTGGGCCAGTGGCTGTCTATACCTAGAGTTTAGTGGAGATGCCAGGCCCTGGGGCTTGAACCAGGAGGGGGCCACGTCTGTGAACTATTTAGTTTTGAGTATGGACAGCATGAGGTAGCTAGGGTGTGCTGTGCTGGTGTTTACTATGTTGTACATCAGCAGAGAACCCAAGTGGGCTTTTCATTCCAAAGAGGTAAGTGGTGTGAGCGGTGCTCCCTCCAACTAGACTAGAATCTGTTTTGTTCCTGTAGGATGGGACAGAGGGTTCTCTAACTTGTGTGAAAAGTAATGAGACGGAGCCACCACTGGCTTGCAGGTAGCAGTCAGATGGCAATGGTGAACTTCCGCCACCAAGAAGAGATGGGTACTTTAGGCAAATGAGGGGCTGCAGAGTCTGTGATCAGTCTGGGGTCCAGACGCCCGTATTGCCCAACACACACTGTTCAGTATGTGTGTACCCCCGTTCTTCCTGTCACAGACCTGTTCCAGTACAGCTGATGGGAGCTGGAGGCCCACTCTCCCAGCTTCCTTGCTCTGGTGCATGCCTGAGGTGTGTTGTACATCCATGGCTCTTAGGGCTACTGCACTTCTTCTTGCAGTTAATGCCTCATGGCTGTCTTCCCACTGCCATCTGCCTTCCGCAAGACCCCTGCCAGAGAGTCCCTTCACCCACCCCCAATAATTCCTTCCACTCCTGTGTCAGGCCAGCCTCTGAATCACTCAGTTTCTGTGCCTGGGAGGCTGGGTGGGCTTGCTAAAGCACAGTGGGATAATAGGTTTGTCTGGTTTGGTGGGTGAGGGAGCTGGGGTGGGGGTTTGGAAGTGGGGTGTCCCGGTGTGGTGAGCAGTATAGCTCTGACTTCCTGGGCAAGCTGATGACCTCCCTGTCCGCCTCCTACAGCCTAGCTACTGAGAAGATGGTGGACCACTTGGCAAACACGGAGATCAACAGCCAGCGGATCGCAGCGGTGGAGAGCTGTTTTGGGGCATCAGGGCAGCCGCTGGCCCTACCCGGCCGTGTGCTCCTGGGCGAAGGGGTGCTGACCAAGGAGTGCCGCAAGAAGGCCAAGCCACGTATCTTCTTCCTCTTCAACGACATCCTGGTGTATGGCAGCATAGTGCTTAGCAAGCGCAAGTACCGCAGCCAGCATATTATTCCCCTGGAGGAGGTAACGCTGGAGCCACTGCCGGAGACCCTGCAGGCCAAGAACCGCTGGATGATCAAGACCGCCAAGAAGTCCTTTGTGGTGTCTGCAGCCTCCACCACCGAGCGCCAGGAGTGGATCAGCCATATCGAAGAGTGTGTGCGGAGGCAGCTGCTGGCCACGGGCCGCCAGCCCACCACGGAGCACGCGGCACCCTGGATCCCGGACAAGGCCACGGACATCTGCATGCGCTGCACGCAGACACGCTTCTCGGCACTCACCCGGCGTCACCACTGCCGCAAATGCGGGTTTGTGGTCTGTGCTGAGTGCTCCAGGGAGCGCTTCCTGCTGCCACGCATCTCTCCCAAGCCCCTCCGTGTCTGCAGCCTCTGCTACCGAGAGCTGGCCGCCCAGAAGCGGAGCGAGGAGGCCCAGGAGAGTTGCCAGGGCTCTCCAGGGCAGCTGACCCACCTAGGCGGCGCTGTCTGCGGTGCCTCCAGTGGCGACGATGAGGACTCGGATGAGGACAGAGAGGGCAATGGAGATGGCGACTGGCCCAACCCAGTGGAGTTCTATGCTTCTGGCGTCTCCTGGTCAGCCTTCCACAGTTGACCTTCACCTGCAGAGTGTCTGCATCAAGCCCAGGGTCCCCAGCTGCCTGGTTTTGGTGGGACCCCTGCCCATGGTAGTAGGCGTGTGACAGGTGGCTGTTCCAGAGCCATTACTCGTGCCTTTCTGCTAAACAGAAGCCTCCTAGACCCTCCTGTGATTCTGTTCAGATAATTGCCTCTCCATCTCACATGGCCCAGAACTTGCTGTTCTTGGTGACCAGGCGACAGCTGCAGCCCTTGAGATTAGACCAGGCCAGGTCTCCCAAACATTAAGAGACTAGGGATGAATAGAGCAAAGGGAAGACCAGACCAGAACAGGGCTCCACTCCACTTTAAAGCTTGGGCTTCAGACCCCATTTCTATCTCTGTTGATGATTATTAATATTTAATATTGATTTATTTTTTAGTTAAACAGTGGTTATTCCTAAACCAGCTACATACCCAAATCACCACACAGAGACTGGGCTTTATTTAATTAACCTAGAGCACAATGCTGGGCAATAATTACTCCATCCTAAACCTCCAAGCCTGCATAGCTTCCTCCCATTCAGATTTCCCACGTTATACTTGCTTTTGAGTCATATCTTAGGCCCAGTTCATCTCTCCTGGTATTTCCAGGTCCTCTCTTCTTGGATCTCTCCTCCTACTCCCTTCTCTCTCCTGCCCTCCAGACCAGGATGTCCCACCCTATTCTCTCCATTGCTCAGCATTGGCTGGTTGTTTTTATTGGCAATACAGAGAACAAATGGTGGCGTGTTTACACAAACTTTACGCAGGTGATGCTTTTTAATGCAATGTCCGGATTGAAAGCAGATAGTGGGGTGAGAAATCAGCATGTGAATGAACAACAGTAAATTGTATACATTCCACATAAACATTATACCAACACATCTCTGCCCCTTAACCGGCTATGGCAGAGCACCACTATCCAGATACCACCACTTGGACACTGAGACCTACCAAGCAGGTCCCAGATGTACTGCATGTGCCCTCCAGGCCCATGTGAGCTGCTGCGGCCTGAGCTCCTCCAGCGCATCACAACCCATCAAGGCCTCTACTCTATCACCACCCTCCAACTATCTGTTGCCTAGTTCTCCTATCCCCATCTCTATCTGCAGTCAATAGAAGTGGTGTTTTCTCTTAGCACTCTAGGTTCAGGGACAAAAACCCTATCTGGACTGACTGACCAATAAACAAAAATAAAATACCAACTGTTTTGGTTGCTAAGAGTACTTTGGCATCAAAGCCCCTGCATATGGTACCTGTGAGTGGGGGAGAAAGCTGCTAGCCTTATATATTGACTAGAGTTCCGACCTTCAGAAGCCTGTAAACTGTGCATGATGGTTCCTGCCTATAATCCCAGAGACCTGGGATAATCAGAGACCTGGCTACATAAAATCCCCATCTTGAGAAACCAAGCTTTCTGCAAGTATTATGAATCAGTCTTTGCCCAGTACCTGGCTGTCTTTGGCTGAAGTCCCTGTGCATAGAGTGGGCTCACTGTCAGCTATATGTGAGACTTCAGTGCTAGGAAAGCTCCCCTCTGACTCCTGGTATAGTGAACCCTATTATTAGGGTTCTCCAGATCCCAAAGTCTGCAGCTGACAGACATGTGGTCACCCTTTAAAGAATGCTGTCGCATCTCAGCATGAAGTGCCCAGAGGTGGCCTTGCTGCCTTCCTGCAGTGGCAGTGACAGGTTGGGGATGTGTTTGTTTGCAGCCCTTTCCCTCTGTGGCCTTTCAGCTGCACAGACTGGTTCAGACTGCTTCTCCTGTTTGGGCACAGGGCCAGGCAGGCTCCCAGGTGAGGAGCAACTTCCTGAAGCTAGAGCTGGTGCCTTCTCAGAAGCTTCAGCCAGGCAGCCCCTTCCCATCCTCCCAGGGCTGGTGACCCACAAACTTCACTCCCCTGGAACTCTTTCCTGGAAACCCTCAGGGTACAAAAGGCAGTTTTCTGTGAACAGAAGGGAGAGTTGCCTGAGGCTGAGCCTGGGCATAGACACCATTCTTAGCCACCTGACAAAATGAGCAGGGTGGCAGGCATCTGAGTGGTTGGAGCAGACTTGTGGAGGGCCGTGTGGCATTGTGGGAAGTAGAAACAGGAACTGACTCATCCCTCAGCCCAGGACTCAGACAGGCTCCCTCTCCCACAGATCTAGGACAAGGATGTTACTTCCCTACGCTCCAAGATGTTGGAGACCACAAGGATCGAAGGGCTCTGGGTGGTCAACTACCTTGGGAAGGAGTCCATTTAAAGCTCCTGAGACTTGTGTTCCCTGTCAGGTGATGGGGACACCACTGTGATTAAGATGGGCAGGGTCCTGACTTGAGGTTGAGAGCAGAGACTAGTATACTACAGCAGGTGGGCTGAGGTTGGTACCAGATGCAGAGACGCACACTCTGGGGAGAGAGGGAGCCATGCCAGTAGAGAAACAGCACTCTAGGCCCTGGGAGGGTCTAGTGTGAAGGCCCGGAAGAGGAAAGGGTCCGTGTGTCCTGGAGAAGCATTCTGGGGTCAAGACTAAAAGACAGTAGACCGCCAGGACCACAGAGGCTTCTACAGGCTCCGGTCTCCTCTCTGCTCTCAAGACTTTGTTCTGACTTGTGGGCAGAGGGCTGGGGAGTGGAGAGGTAGGTGGGCATGGGGACTGTATGACCAGAGCTAGCCTGGGAGTCCCAAGGGGGGAATCTATCAAAAGCCCATCCTTCTCTCTTTCTACCTATGGTGGTGGGCGGGGAAGCTTCCGTGGCCTCCTTTCTGCTCTTGACTTTTTTTTTTTCTGAGATACTGAGGGAACTCTCAAGAGCTAGACGACCATCTTTGTGTGAGACCAAGTGGGGTCCAGTATCCCCCCCTGACTGCTGGAATGTAGAGGGGAACAGACTGTATGGATGAAGGCCTTGAGATAATACACGTAAGAAAACAAAGTGGTGAGGATGTGCGGAGGAGGCAACCTATATCCTGGTGTAATAGTGAGTTCACCACAGAAGTCACTGTGCAGACTTCCCAGCAAACAAAACAGAGGGTGCTGTTCAGTCTAGGTAGTGAGCATACACTTGGGCACCATGGTTATCCTGGCAATGTCTACAGTGGCCGATATGGAACCAGCCTAGGTGCCCATCAGCATGTGAATGGATAAAGAAAATGTATATATACACTGGATGGAGATTTAGTCAGACACCAAGAAGGAAATTTTGTCACTAGTAGAGAAATGGATGGGACTAGAGAGTACCATGTTAAAGCCAGACTCAAAGATCACATATTTTCTCTCATAGGCAGATTCTAATTTCCTTTTTTTTTTTTTTAAGATGTGCAAGTAGAGGGGCACTATTTAGGAAAAGGAAGGGGATAATCAGAGACCTGGCTACATAAAATCCCCATCTTGAGGATGGAAGGAAGGAACAGCCTGAGTAGCATGTCTGGAGCAAGGGTTGCAGACATGCTACTCAGGCTGTTCTCAGAGAAGAGCCTGCCTGGGGAGCAACTGCAACGTGAGCCATTCTCAGTTTGGGACCCCAGCCAAAGTGCCAAGGCTTTCCTACTGACCTTTGCCCCTGGCTGCCACCCCACCTGGCGGCTCAGGAGTTCTCGGGATGGACTTCAGCACCTCGGTGAATCGCAGATCTCTTATTTACCCGGTACTGAGCTGAAGGACAATGCGATCCAAGAGCACTCTGATGGGCTGGGGCCAGGCTTCACGCTCTTGTCCAGGGCTCTGCTCACAAGGCCTGGCGAGGACACAGGAACCCATTGTCCTGCCAGCTGAGTCTCCCTGGAATGTGTCCTCCCAGCTGTGCGGACACTGTCGCTGCCAGGAGCATGTGATCCTCTGGCAGCACTGAGTGCTTGGGAGGGGTCTGCCTTGCCCCTCCTGGAAATAAAGAGAGACAAGGGAGAGTCTGAGGCCAGGACCCTGCATCGACACCATTGGAAACTTGTACCTCAGCATTGCCTGAACCAGCTGCTCAGGGTCCAGCCTGATGCAGCGTTGGAGCAGGAGGTAAGTAAGGTTGCAGCTGTGACCCCATGCGTCAGAGACAGATGACAGATTGCTCTTGCCGTTCGGAATTTAAGTCACACAGATTTAGATAGCAGGAGAGGCCTTGCGAGGTGCATAGTCAGTGTTCCTAGCCTGTGCATTTGACCATAGGACTTCCAGGTGTCACTTTTTCTTAAAGGAGAGAGCCACTTACACAGAACCCAAGTGCGGTCTGCCAAGGTGAGGAGGAAGGCAGGGAAGCCCCAAGACCCCAGGAATGCTGTCTCTGATGAGGGGGAATGCTGGTACCCACTTACTAGGGTCTCTCTGTGCTCAATGCAGAGACAGGCAGGTCACACAAAGCCTTCTTGGGGCTCAAAGAAAACGTCCTTAGGAGAGCTTCCCGGAAAGGTGGCGTTTGTCGGCACCATAGCACATGGTACCTCAGCAGGCTTTATCTTGGTATCCGTGAAAACTGGAACTCTGGTTCTTATTTCTCTTGTAAATTTTTCCTTTAAAAAAAAAGTTTTAATAAAAGAAAAGTGGCCAGGCATAGTGGCACACAGTCATAATCCCAGCACTCAGGAGGTAGAGGCAAGCTGATCTCTGAGTTTGAGGCCAGCCTGGTCTACAGAGTGAGTGCCAAGACAGACAGGCAGGGTTACACAGAGAAACCCTGTCTCAAAATTTTTTTAACATATTACATTTATTTGTGTAAGGGTGGGTGACACGTGGAGGTCAGAGGACAATCCGTAGGAGTCAGTTCTCTCCCTCAGCTATGTAGGCACCAGCAGACTTTCATGAGACTTGTATAGACAGTGATTCTCCATGTGACACCAAGAGCAAACATAGAAAGGAGGGCTACAATCAACTGAAAAGACTCAACAGAGTGGACAAACAGCAGATAGAAAACAAATAAACAAAAAGGGTTTTTGAAACAGGGTCTCACACTAGCTTCAGCTGGCCTGAAATTTGCACTTCAGGCTGGCATTGAACTCATGGAGATCCACCTGCCTTTGTCCCCTGGGTCATGGGATGGTGGGTGCCTGTAATCTTTGGGAGGCTGAAGCAGGAGTTTGTGAGTTTCAGACCTGTCTGGGTCACACAGTGAAATCCTACTCAAATAAACAGACCAAACAACAAACAAACACTCAAGCTAGTTTTTAAATTGTGCAAATAGACACTTTTCAAAAGAATAAATGAAATATATATATATATATATATAATCACATTTATACGGTATATATGATTGGCCATCAGGAAAATTTAATCAGGACTTTATTGACCTGTCATTTCACCTCAGTTAGAATGTCTACTGTTATGGGCTGGAGAGATGGCTCAGTGGTTAAGAACACTGTCTGCTCTCCCAAGGGACCCAGGTTCAACTCCCAGGTCACATAGGGCAGCTCACAACTGCATTTCTAAGGGATCTGATACCCTCATAAAAAAAGAATTTGAGAATGTCTATTTAAAAAATCTAAAACCCTGGTGTAAGGCTGTGGGTAAAAGGACCCACCTGTACTGTTAGCGTGGAAAGTGCACTATGCTCCTCAGTGTGAGGAGGTCCTCTGCTAAATGAGAGATCTGACACCTGAGCCAGCCCCGCCACCTTAGGATCTCATTCAAAGAAAATGATACCAGAAAGGTACCCACACACCATGGGTGGGCTTGACAGCAAGGTCACAATAGCTAAGTCATACATGGGGTCCCAGGACCCAGAACTGGTTCCTGGCCTCTCACCAGAAGCGGGTCAGGCTCTTCCTCCCCGACATGCACTGTAAGTTGCCGTCACAAGGTGGGGCAGAAGTGTCCACCACACCAGACAGAAGTTTCTAGAAAGACTGCATCTGTTCTTCGCCTCCAGGCTGAGGCCAGAGGGCTGGCTTGGCTTCTTGCTTGCCTCTCTGCCTTTCCTTTAAACACAGCTGCAGAAAGACTGCTGGAGGAAGTCAGATCACTGGGACTGGGACCCTGTAAGAGTGAGTCAAAGGCTGACCCAGTTCTCAGTCAGAATCTGAAGTCTTGGGACACGTACAAAACAAGGGCAGCCACTTCCCCTTGGCCTGGTTGTGACTGGGGCCTCTAGGAAGTGTGGGAAGGGGCAGGGCTGTCTCGGAACTTTTCACGGGGTAAATCATCAGGTTCTGGCCACCCCACCCCTCAAACTGAAGCCTCAGCCCTTGCCACTGTCTGCAGAGGTCCCCACTTGTGAAAACCCACATCCTCCTTGTATATGCTCTTCCTCAGTCCAAGCAGGCTCACTGGAACTGTGTGCAGGAGCGGTACCAGAGGGCAAAAGAAGGGGACAGTCAAGAGGGGTCTGCCTCCACCTGGGTTGCTTTCTGGCTGCCTACCGCTCCCCTGCTCTGCGCAGGATGTCTCTAGCACAGACACCACCTCCACCTCACCCTTCTTGGATTTCAGGCTTGCTTAATCTGGCTTCCCCACCCTCCCACAAACTGTACCATTTGGTCCCCTGTGAAGCACTGGGCAATTGCAGGTGATCCCTTTGAAGGTGGCATCAGTACCTCCCCTAGCTTCGGGGGCATCGTAGGAAAATGTGGTGGTTTGAATGAGAATGGCCCCCATAGGCTCATATATTTGAATGTTTAGTCACCAGGGGTTGGAACTTGTTTGGGAAAGACTAGACTAGAAGGTGTGGCTTTTTTGGAGGGGGCGTGGCCTTGTTAGAGGAGGTGTGTCACTGGGAGTGGGCTTTAGGGTTTCAAAAACCCATTAACCAGGCCCTGTCTCTGTCTCTGTCTCTGTCTCTGTCTCTCTCTCTTTCGATCGCTTACTGCCTGCTGCCTTCTGATCAGGAAGCTACTGCTTCTACACCATGATTGCAGCAATGCTCTGAAACTGTGAGCAAGCCCCATTAAATGCTTTTCTCTTGTAAGTTGCCTTGGTCATGGTGTCATCACAGCAACACAACAGTAGTGAAGACAGGTCTCAAGAGGCTGTGCACCCATTGGCTTTGCCCACCTACTTGCCCTGCCTCCATCACCACCTGAGCTAGGCAAGCTAGCCATACACACCTGCGTCTCCCAACTCCACCTTTCTTTTTGCCTCTTCTCTCATTCTTCCAGCAACACCCTATCTGTGGATGCCCCAGGGGTCCAGAACCCTGTGACACACCAGTACACAGGGAAACTTGCACAGGAATGAAGCCTGTACATCATGACACTCAAGGAGCTTACTTCAGGCTGCGTGGAAGATCTTCTAGCAAGACCAAAGGGGTGAACATAGACCAGGCTGTGTGGTACCCTGTTGGTGGAGTCCTTGTCCTAATAGAAAGAAACTGTAATCACACACTCCATATATTCCCTATTAACTCCAGCCCTGCCCTCTGGACTCACCTGTCTGTCTGTCTGCCTGCTCCCAAACTGTCTCACAACACCTGGCCTTCATTCATCATTAAAGGAAAAACTAAGTGGGAGCAAGGAGATCTTCAGTTGTGGGGACTGAACTTAAGGCCTCATGTATGCTAGCCAAGTGCTCTCTCACCTAGCTAACGTCTGGACATTCACTGGGGGATTCTAGGCAAGTATTCTACCACTGAACCACACCCCCTCACTGGGGGTTCTAGGCAGATACTCTACCATTGAACCACACCCCCTTTCCCTCAGTGGGGAATTCTAGGCAAGTGCTCTATCCCTGAGCCACACTCCCAGCCCCTCACTGGGGATTCTAGGCAAACATTCTACCGCTGACCCATGGACCCTACCCTTCATTGGTGGACTCTAGGCAAGTGGTATGCTGCTAAGCCATGTCCGAAGTGCCTCACTGCTAGATTCAAGTTCCTTCACCCTGTCATGTCACCAGTTTCCTTGATGGTGGATTGAATGCAAGCTGAACTGCTGAGCGATGCCCCCAAACCTTTGACTGCTAAACTCTAAGGAGGTTCTCCCACCCAGTGACACCCTCACTCACTCAGTGGTGGATTCTAGGCAGGCATCCTGTAAGAGTCCCTCACCCACCTACCCACCCTCTTCATCTGAGCCCCCCTCCCACCTTCACAGGGACCTCATGCTGAGAAAAAGAATGAAAACCCCAGTGACCTCGAGGCTTCCCTTCACCCTTCATCTTTAGGGTTATGAAACCAAGGTCTAGGGAGTAGACACTCAATCCCTGATCTGACACTTAGGATCAAAATAGGATAAGCTGAGACCAGGGCTGTCTTCTGCCTTCCCAATCCCCTCTGGTCTCCTGCTGTCTCCCACTTCAGCCTCCCAGGCCAACCTAAGCCAAGTGTTCCAAGCTCACGACAGAGCGGCAGCACGGGGTGGAGGTGGGAGGTGGCTGGGGCAGACCACAAACAGAGCCAGGCAGTTCTGGGCAAAAACAAGGGGGAATTTCCATCACTGCAGCCTCATGGAGAGTCTGGACAATGTCTGATTCCAAAAAGCAGGCCTTTCGGAGTGCCTCTTCCTGCACAAGGTGGCTCCCAACCTGCCAGGGAGCTTAACCTGGCATCTGAGCCAGTCGTCCACTGTGTCACAGCAGCCGGAGCCCTCCCTCCTGTCAGTCACAGCAGCTCTGGCCTCCTGCACGTGTGCACATCAGTTGCACAAAGATGGAGCAGGAGGGGGAGACCCATATTTCCAAAGAAATCTGGGAAGAGTTAGCAGGAGGTGTGATAAAGGACAAAAGAGGGTCAGGGTCCCCCTCCCCCCACCTTCTTCCACCTCTCCTTTCTCCTTCCTTGAAAAGTTTGTTTCTTTATTTTTTTGGTGGTACTGGGCATTGAACCCAGGCCTGTGCCCATGCTAAATCAGATCTTTACTACTGAGTGGAGACCCCAGCCTCCTTCCTTTGTGTGTGTGTGTGGGGGGGGGAGGGTTAGAGAGAGAGAGAGAGAAATACAGACAGATATATATAGAGAGAGAGAGACCAGGAGAGACTGAAGTTGGGTCACTCGAAACTGCCCAAACTGGCTTAGGACTCACTACACAGGCCCTGGACTTGTCATCTTCCTGATTCAGTGTCCTCAGTGGCTGAAATGATGTGTTTGTACCACCATACCTGGCTTAGAGTTTTTGGGTTTTTTTTTTTTTTTTTTTTTGATGTTTTTTTCTACTTCTGTTCTCTTGGCAGTGCTGGAGATGGAATTTATCTCATCCCAACAAACTGGAGACACCAGACAGACACAGGAGAGGAATCCTGGCATTTCTTAATCACCATATGTTGGTCACTCAGAAAGGAGAAATATCCAGTTTTGTATGCAAAAAAGGCGGCAGGAGACAACCGTCGATGTTCTGCTCTTGGCCTGTTAAAACCTCAGGAAGTCCTCAAGCCCTCTGCTCTCAGCTCATGAACCAGATCAGACTGTTGCGGCATCCTGGGCTTTGCACGGTGATCAGTAGGTGGCGCTGCGTCCCGAGCTGTGGAGCAGAGCAGCGAGGGCGCGATTCGCCGCTAGATGGCGCCTTGTAACCGCCCTGTATGGTCGCTGCCAGCCTTTGCCTCACTGCATCCTTCCTTGGCCACAGGGTCTTGATTCTGCATCGTTGGCCATTGGGACCTCTGATCTGCATCCTTAGCCACAGTCCCTTATCCCTGAAGCCCTCCCCGCGCTCTTTCTTCCAGGCTCCGGCTTCATCTCCAAACACTGAGTCAAAGTCAAGTCTAGCTGAAAATACACCATCTGCCTGTGAAAAATCTCGCTGGCGCTGTCACGTCAGCATCCGACGCAGGTTAATAACCGGCCTCGGAGCAGATGGCTGCTTTTTATAATTACCGGGTCCCTGCCTCGGCTTGCTCCCCTCTGCTTCCTCCCCAGCAGGAGCAGGTGGGTGTCACACCACCGAGCGTGCCTTCCCACCTGCTGCCACCAGCTACTGGTGGTGACACAGACCTGCAGAAGGCTCCTTCTCCCCAGGGAGGCCTGGACCCAGATTAAACAGACCGTCAGTTTACCAGAGAGGACGCAACACGCATGCTGCATGCCAAACCTTGGAGGGTAAATTAATGAGAGATGATGATTGGATGACTCATACTTTTAAATTCATCTTTTCGCTCTGGAGGAGTCGTAATCCAAAGATACATCAAATTTCAAATGACAGAGACGGTAACTCAAAGCGTGTTCACCGCAGCACTTTGCCTTGCCTGAAAGGCCACCTCACCCCAAATGCCATGATATAGATTTTAGGATACTGTGTAACCATTGCCAGTGTTTCCGAGGCTCAATGATTAAGAGCATTGGCTTTTCTTCTAGCAGACCCAGGTTCGATTACAGATTTGATTTCCAGCCCCCACATGGTGGTTCACAACTGTCTGCAGCTCCAGTTCCAGGGAATCTGACCCCTCCTCTGGTATATGTCAGGCATGCCTGCCGTGCACTGACATACACGTAGGCAAAACACCCATACACGTGCAAATCAATATGTACATTTTAAAAGGAATATGAAATTAGTGGTACATGCTGATGAGTCAGAGGGGGCTACACTCTTCTTGATTTTTCAAAGTTTTCAGCAAAAGTCACTGATAAATAAAAGGAAATGAGTGGTTTTTTAAGGACTGTTTAAAAAAAAAAAACAGAGTTAAAGGTGAGCATGGTGGCACATGCCTGTGATCTGAGATTTTAGGTGCCTGAGGCAGGAGGATCATGAGTTTGAGGCGAGCCTCTAACGACACAATGAGAGCCCCGTCTGAAAAATAACCTCAACCTGGACTAAATCAAACCAACCAATCCAAGGCAAACCCACCAGAGCTCAGCACAGGTGAAACTGGTAACAGTGGTTTGTTCTGAGTCAGTCCGGGCAGCTGTCTTCTCCAGTTTGCGTCCTCCGGCTTCCTTTAGGTTTCGTACTGGGCAGCTACAATCTATCAAAACTTAAGTTTAATGAAAACCTTCTGGTCCCCCGAACCTGGCACAGAGTGACCACATGCAGGGGCATGGAGGGTGAGTCCGACTGCTTAACGAAGGAATCCTATTACATACAACTCTGACTTTTCTAAACGCCGAGTGTAAGCGACTGCAGAATTTGACTGTTCAAATGGGGCACACACTTCTACTCAAAGCAGGTGGGAGACCGAGGCAGGAGGATGGTGTTAAGTTCGACAGCCTGGATTACAAAGCAATACAGTGAGGCCCTGACTCAAACTAACAAAACAAAACAATACAAGCATCCCCTAATGTGAAGCCCTGAACTAAAACTCTTAGTTGCGGTCTTATTGCCATGTATGCACCAATCAGTATCTTCATCTTTTTTAAACTATAGCAACTGGGGTAGGTCTTGACTTTAGACTTTTAGCTCAAGGGCCCAGGGTCACTTAGTGTTTAGCATGAAGAACAGAAAGTGTCAGTGGAACCAGGAAAGACCTAGTCTCTAAAGAGAGCACTCAGTTCCAGCCCTACCCTATTGCCACCCACTGACACCCACTGACACCTTCCAGGCGTCACCTAGGCTACCCAGCTGAGGCCCACCTAGGAGTACTCTGAGTCAAAGGCTCCACCCCCTCCATCCCCCTCCCATGGGGGTAAAGTCCACAAGGAGGCTTCCTTTACACATGGAGATATCAGTCCTGCCAAGATGCTTGCCCTCAGTCCAGCCCCTCCCTCTGACTGCAGAAAGTCTGGGCTGCAGCCATGCACAGAACCCAGGTCCCAGCACTACCTACCAAGACTTGGGCATTGAGGGCTTGAGGAGTCAACAGAGCCTATGCCGGCCTGAGGCAGCCATCCAGGGCTGGGCCGGAAAACTTTTGCCCAGCCTTCAAAGCCACGAATCAAGGACTCTACCTTTTTATGGTAAGGCTTCAGCTCAGAGGCGGTTTCCACAAAATACATGGAAAATGACTTTTCAGGGCAAAGTAATTTATTAGTAATTTAATGACAGCCAGGTTGTAGTTTTGAAAGAGAATACCGCATCAGGAGAGATCTTGGGATAAAAATATTGCTTGTCCATGGTTGGGATCCCCCACATTAGAGAGAGCATACATTTTACTAAAAATATTTCATGTGCAAAACATGACTCAACCTGTTTGAGGGCTCTGGCTTCTGTGGTTAGTAGCTCCGTGGCTTCAAAAAGCTTGAAATCTGATTCTAACTTTCTGTTGTCAAATGTTTCCTTCCTGGAGGAGTTCCATAGGAAGTGATTTCAAAACAATGACTCATATATATATATATATGAGTTTTTATTCAGTTTTTCAAGGCAGGGCTTTTCTGTATAACCTTGGCTGGCCTGGACTCACTTTGTAGACCAGGCTGGCCCCGAGCTTACAGAGATCTGCCTGCCTCTGCCTCTCTGAGTGCTGGGATTACAGGTTGTACCATGACACCAGGATCCTCCCCAAAATATTTCGTGAAGCCTGGCATTGTAGTATACCTCTGTAATTTCAACACTTAGTGGGTGATGGAGGCATGAGGATCAAGAGTTCAAGGTCATCTTTGGCTACACAGAGAGCTGTACACTAGCCTGGGCTACATGAGAGCCTATCTCAAAAACAAAACAAAAACAATAAGAATTTAAAGACTTCTAACAAAAAAAAAAATATTTATTGATCTTGGCTTTGTGATTCCTGCCTGTAATCCTAGGGCTCCTGCTTGAGGCAGGAGAATGATGAGTTTGAAGCTACCCAGGCCTCATAGAGTAACCCTTTTTGGAAAACCAAACCTAGTGGTGGGGAGATGGTTTAGCCACTGATGTTCTTGCAGAGGGCCTGGGTTTAGTTCCCAGCACCCACGTTCTGGCTCAACTGTCAGTAACTCTGACTTTAGGAGGTCCAGTGGTCATCTCTGGCCTCTGTGGGAATCTCTCTCTCTCTTTCTCTCTCTCTCTCTCTCTCTCACACACACACACACACACACACACACACTTACAAAAATGCAGACAAAACATGTAAAAATAAATAAAATAAATAAAACAAGCAGAACGGTATAAAATACATAGCTTTAAAAATAAATATTTATTTAGCATCTACCACATAAAAGCCATGGTGCCAAGCAAGACCAAGCTGGAGATAGGGGTGACCAAGACATACAGCTCTTGCCCTCCCTGAGTGAGCATCTCCAACAGAGGATAAAAGGGAAGTGTCAAATGTTTAATCAATTGTATACAATGTTACTTGGGTGAGCTCCAGCACTAGAAACAACTGGCCAAGCCAAAATTGAGCCTCTCAAGGGCTGGGACTAGGCTCAGTGGTAGAGCATTTGCCTTGGATCTTCCAAGAGAGGGCTGGAAGCAAGGCTCAGTGGTGGTACTTACCTAGCTCATGCAAGGCCCCGGGTTCCATCCACAACACACACACACACACACACACACAAACACACACACACATACACACACACACTACTTGTCAGATGTGAGCCAGTTTCACGGGAGGTTAACCTAGCACTTTTGTTATTTCTGCTTTCCCTTGGTCTCCTCTATCTATTTTCTCTTTCTAGCTCATCGGAACATTCACAGCCAAATAAGATGGTGTGTCGTGCCCCCTCCTATCTCCCAGCTTCTGAGAGGTTGCCGAGGTTGGCCTTGAATTCCTGGGCTCAGGAATGTGCCTGCTTTGGCCTTTCAATTATCTGGGACCATGGGTGGGCATCACAGCACCTAGCTCAGTTAGGATCTCTGAACTCGGTTCATTGTTGATTTTGTCTTTTCACACAATTAATTGAAGATTGCAGCCAGTGCAGAGAGGAGAACATAGAACTTACTTAGATAAAGGGGAGTGAAAGATGGTCTTTGAGGTAAAGCTAGGTATGGTGGCACAAGCCTACGGTCCCAGCCAGCTATGTAGCAAGACCACCTGAGCTGAGGAGGTCAAGGCCAGCCCAGGCAACAGAGTAAGAATAAGAAGAAAAAAAAATCAAAAGTGTAGAGAACAAAAAGGGTTCTGAATTGACAGTAAAAATAAAGAAGTGCCATGATTTTTCCATAAGGAGGCAGAAGACCCTGAAAGCTTAACCAGGGTTACTCAAGAGAGCTTGGGGGTGTAGCCATTGGCAGAATATAGAGACTGCCTGGCATCTGTGGCTTCACTCAGAGGAATCACTATCACCATGAAACCACTGGGAAGTCCCTGGGCAAAGGAGGGAGACACTCAGCAGGTAAGCACGATCCGGACAAGAATTGGCTCTGAACCCCCAGACTCCAGAGCCTAAGGGGACCCAATCCTGTGACAGGTACGAGGGGGTCCTCTTCACAGGAAGAGGAGCATCGGGCACAGCCAGCCAGCCAGCATGACAACTTCTTTTAGAGCCACACGATCAGCAGGACTCCCAAGCTGTCTGTGAATGCCAACAGTTGCTGTGCCTGTACCTTTCCACAGCACACACACACAGCATGGCCAAGGCCCCTCCCGAGGGACAGTCCAACAGGATGTGGCAACACTCCAGCTTACAGTCAACGCTGGTGGTAATATGCAGGTACCTGTCAGGCTTTCCCCTGGTGGCCATCTGAGAGCCTAGAATCATCTAAAAAAGCCCCATACCCCAGGGGGAGTGGCCTAGTCATCATAGCAGATCTCGGCCTGCAGCTCCTTGGTGACATATGTTGTTAACATGGCCAAGAGCTTCTGCTGCATGGCCTGGTTGCTCATGACCAGAGCAGTCAGCTGCACAGCGTCTGTCCAGTCCAAGTTCCCGATGATGGCAGCGGCTTCTTTAGCGAGTTTCTGCTGTTCAGCAGGGGGCAGTTCCATTAAGATTTGAGGAACCGCCTTGAACTGTCCACTCGTCATCCAGGCACCTAACAGGCCCCCAACAGTCCCCCCTGGAAAACAAGGAAGGAAGGCTCAATTAGTCAGGCTCATTCTCCAACAACGGCCTTGGTTTCTTGCCGAGAATGTAACCACTGTCATGACAAGTGGGCACATTCCTGAGCAGGTCACAGCAAGCTCAGCTTCTGCCAGGCAGTCAGCAGGGCAAAGGTTTATGTGGCCTCTAGTCCATTTGGCCCAGATAAATGACAGCCAAGCAGGTTTCTCCCAATGCCTCCTCCCACTTACGCCCTCCCTACCTCAGACCTGTGCAAACTAAGATCTCCTTCATGGCCGAAGAACACCCCCATTCCTTGACGCCCAGAACAATTTGCCTTCACAAAGGAGAGGCTGAGAGGGAAATCTTCTGAAAACCATTTGCCTGGAGAGGCTGGGAGGATGAACTGTTTCCACAGTGTGGCTGTCTTGGGGTTTCTGTTGCTGTGATAACACAGGACAATAAACAACTTGGGGAGGAAAGGGTTTATTTTTGCCTCACAATTCTCAGGTCACTCTCTGAAACTCAGGGGAGTCAGAGTAGGAACTAACTCTCAGCAGAAGCAGATCCAGAGGCCATGGAGGGGTGCTGCTCACTGGCTTGCTCAGCCTGCTTCCTTACAGCATCAGAACCACCAGCTAGGGAATGGCACTGCCCACAACGAGCCAAGCTCTTCCACATCGATCAAGAAAACCCAGTACAGGCTTTCCCACAGGCCAGTCTAGTGGGGACATTTTCTCAACTGAGGATTCCCCCTTCCAAGATAACTCAAGCTTGTGCCAAGCCATACAATCAGTGGCTGTATGAAACACGTCCCTGAGCTTAGGATATTCCCAGAGGACTCACATGGAAAATGACCCTGCGGGCAAGTCGAGTTTTTCTCTTGAAGAGTCTTTCATTCCATTCCTCCAAACAAACCTAATATAATTTACTATTTCTCTTTCCGAAAGGGGCTATGTTTTACTTTCTCTTGCTTTTGTGTTTTGGAGACAAAGTCTTACAATGTAGCCCAGCGTAGCCTGGAACTCTTGATCTTCCTGCCTCAGCATCTCAGCTGAGAACCATGTACACGCCAGCCACCTTAGCCCTGCTAGAGAATGTTATTTTTAGATTTCTGTTTTCATTTTTTTCCCAGGAGTTCGGTACTGTGGGGTACAGGGTAGGAAGGTGGCCCAAGAGTGAAAGCTAAGCTCTCTTAACACTGAGATACATCCTCATGTAGAAACATTGTTTTATTTGTACTTTTAAATTTTTTGGTTTGTTTTTCAAGACAGGGTTTCTGTTTTGTCTGTATGCCAGACAACTGCTGTTCCTGGGAACATTATATCTGTATCTTTAAAGCCTCCCACAAATTGTAAATATCAGCAATCAGATAGTCACAGATGCAGCCTGTCTAGACTTAGTGAGTCATTCCTAAAGAACAGAGTATGGAGTGAGAAACAGAAAATTTAGAGTGGAAAAGCCTAGCACACATGACCTTGACCAAATTACCGAAGTCAGCCTCACTGGAGATGCCACAGGATGTCATGTCCTCCTGGGCTGGTGCAGAAGACACGTCACCTCTGAGGCGTTCCCTCCTCCCAAGACTCATGAGAAGCACATGATACAACTGAGAAGTTTATAAAACACCTGCCAGCCACTCCCACCTATCCATTATCAAGGTCATGAAAAACAAGGAAAGCCTAAGAAACTGTCACAGGCCAGAAGAGACTAAGGAAAATAGGCTCATTAAAGTGTCAGCGAAGGGCAGTGATAGCGCACACCTTTGATCCCAGCAGTTGGGAGGCAGAGGCAGGAGAATCTCTGAGTTCGAGGCCAGCCTGATCTACAGAGCAAGTTCCCGGGCAGCCAAGGCTACACAGAGAAACACTGTCTCCAAAAAAGTATCAGCGGGGCATAGTGGCCCACACCTTTAATCCCAGTCCTTGGGATACAGGGGTTCTTTGTGAGTTCAGAGGACAGCCTGGTATATATATATAGTGAGTTCCAGGACAACCAGGGCTACATAATGAGACCTTGTCTCAAAATTAAAAGCAAACAAAAACCCAAAGTGGCAACTCAAAGAAAAACAAGGCCACTGTGCAAAGTCTGATCAGACAGGGATGTTCACAGTACTGCATGAGTGCTCGCTGCTTCGTCTCCATAGCCTACTGTGAAACACATTCCCAGTAGAACTGGGTGAGGGACACATGGGGGTTTTCTGTACAATCACTGCAACTTTTAAAAAATTTATTATTCATACAATATTCTGCTTGTATGTTTACCTACATGACAGATGAAGGTACCATATCTCATTGTAGATAGTATGAACCACCACGTGGTTGCTGGGAATTAAACTCAGGACCTTTGGAAGAACAGCCAGTGCTCTTAACCTCTGAGCCATCTCTCCAGACCCCACAACTATGTATCCAATATTACTCCAAAATAATTTTGTTTTCCTTTCAGAAAAGGCTTTTTTTTTCAAGTAACTGCAAATAGGAAACCAGAGGAGGAGCCCCAGGATGGGACAAATACTGGCCTCCCCTCCCCCTTTTCCCATCAAAGTAGGGACCCCTCCTCACTCTGCTGCAGCATCCAAGGGGTGGTGCTTCATCTCCCCTGGTGTGAGGTGGTCAGGTAACCAGACTGCTGCTCCCATAGGCCCCCTTCCCCTAAAGTGTCTTGGGGAAGAAAGTGCAGGCAAAACAGGAGGACAAACATTTATGCTGGTAGCAGCAGCAATAGTGGTTCTACGAACCAACACTGAACAAAAAAACAAAACAAAACCAAAACCTAAACCAAAACCAAAACCAAAACCAAAACACAACTCTCCAGAGGCAGTTTGTGAACAGAAGAAAAGATGGAACCAGAACCTTGGAGGTGGGGGTGGGCAGAAGGAAAAAGTAAAAGGAGGGGAGCTAGACTAGCTCCTCAGTGCCCCAAGGCTAGCTCCTCAGTGGAGGAAGGGAAACAGCCTGGAGAAGTAGGGGAGGCAAACTGGCACCCATCTGCCTTAGGTGGAAGATGAGGTCTTAGGACCTCATTCTGGAGACAGGCGGCAACTCCTGTCTGTCACCAGGTGAACACAAGGTAGGTGAGACCAGCATCTGTCCTACTTCCCTTAGCCAACCTAGCACAGGATCTAGGTGCCGTGGGGAGGAAGTGACTGAAAAACCCATCTGGTGACAGGGCAGGGGGCATGCTGGGATATAAGCATCCATTGCAGTGACCACACCTTCTCCTGCCAGGTCAGCCGATGGGGCTTGCCAGAACGAAATGGGGCTGGGGCCCCTTAAGGCCAGGGAATGTTCCCGGGACCTTCCATGGGGAAGTCAGGAACAGCAGAGCAGAAGGGACCTGTAAAACAGAGTGCCTGGAGAACAGTGTCTCCAAGGGAGGTACACAGCGGGACACATCTCCGCTAAGTAGGAAGTCAGCCTTGGCAAGAGAGGGCAGGTGTGGTGAGGAGAGGACACAGGGACTGAACCACATCCTGCTCCAGTGGGGGTGGGCCGCAGAGCCTGCAACTGGTGTGGTAGTATACAGTAGGGGTGGGAGGGGCCTGGGAGAAGGGAAGCTACTCCTCGGATGGCCAAGGAGCATGGGGCACTGCACATGATCACTGCTCCTCATTCGAGGACTCCCCGGAGATGGCTGCCCCTTTCTCTTCCTCCAGTCTCTTGGGTCTGCCCCCTGGTTTCCTCCCGAGAACTATGGTAGCTTTCCACATCTTGGCAGCACCTTTATTTTTGCTCCCCTTTGGTGGGCCCCACGCTCGCTTCTCAGCCCTGTCCTCTTCCTGCTTGGAGACCAGGGCCTGGCTAGACTTTGAACTTGACTCACTCATCTTCCTTCTCTATGGGACAGAGAGAGTGACTGGTAGTGATGGCCTTCTTAGGGCTGCTCCAACACCAGAAATAGCCTAGCTAGGAGACCCAATTCTGAGTGATCGTTTTAATACTGGGGATACCGTATAACTGTAATTCCAGCACCTTGGATGCTGAGGAATGAGGATCTCAGATTTTAGGTACAATGTGGGATACTTAGTTTCAGACCAGCCTGAGGTATAGAGAGAGATCATAGCTCAAAAAAAAAAAAAGTGTGGGACTAGAGAGTAGGGTAGTTAAGAGCAAGGAACTGTCTGCTCTTGCTGAGGGCTAACATTTGATTCCATCACCCACAGGGTGGCTCAAAACCATCCTTAATTCCAGTGCCAAAGAACATGATGTCCCCTCCTGGCTTCTGTGAGTATTGCATGCATAGAGTTCATGGACATATATGCAGGTAAAACATCCATACACATACAATAAAAATACATAAGTCACCTTATAAGTTTTTAATTAAGTACACAGACAACCTAGCTTATACCTAGAGAACCCACTTGCAGGCTGCACTCAGAAGACAGAGAGCAACACCCATGTTTGCTGAACCCAAGCAGCATGACCCCGGAAGCAAACAGCGCCCTGGCTCTCAACACAGGGGCAGCCAGATTTAGTCTCTAAAGGAGAGAGGCATCCCAGGGACAGAAAAGCAGTTCATTCACAAGTTTTACTGAACTAGTCCTCCTGACACCAGTGAACCTCTTGAACTGACGGTGCTACGAGAATCTGCACTAACTCTTTACGGGACGTTAATATCTGATTGGCAAGGGTACTTACTGCAAAGGGTTATCAGGACATCGATGCACAGATTACTAGTAGGTCTTTGGAGAAAGGAGAATTACTGTGGTTTCCAGGGAAAATGAAGCATCCACCATGAGCAGGGGCCAGAAGCAGCAAGTCCCTACAGACTCTAGTCTCTGCCAGTTTTACTCAATATGGGCTCCCATGACCTTCCCCAGGGCACTGAGATAGGAGCAGAAGGTGAGAGAATCACTGGTGAAACAAGAAATGGGCTTGCCTTCTCCTGCCCTGGGAAGAAGCTGATGTCAGGAGTCCTGAATTCACAGAATTTGAAAACACAAAAGGCAAAGGGTTGGGCCACCCGTATACTTTTGTTTCTATGAAATGAAGCTTTCATTTAATGCAGTGTTCTTGAATGTCAGTTCGGTCACTGAAGGGAAGAACAGGGGTGAGGTCGGGGAGGGGATGGGTAGTCAGCAAGCTGGAAAACAGAAACCAGCCTCAGCACATAAGAGTTTCCTGCCCAGCCTGCCAGGATGCGGGGACTGGAAACCATATAGCAAGAGGTTCTAGAAGACTTGGGGTCAAGAAAGGCCCACACCCCTAGGCTAGGCTGTCAGCCAAACAACAGTAGTCAGTAAAGAAGCACCCAGCTTCACGTGGCAGGTGCCAAGCCTGTGGTGGGGATGCCAGCTAAACTGTATTGAATGGTCCATCTCAGGAGAAGGCAAGCAGAGTGAGCCAAGAGGATCAGGGCAGTAAGCAGCCCTCCATGGCTTCTGTTTCAGTTCCTGCCTCCAGGTTCCTGCCTCGCGCTCCTGCCCTGACTTTCCTTTGTGACTGACTGTAAGCTGTAAGCTGAAAGCTGAAATAAACCCTTCTCCAAGCGGCTTTGGTCATGGTGTTTTCTCACAGCAGGAGAAAGCAAACTAAGACGCAGCCATGTTGTGAGCTCATGGAAGGAACTTGGCAAACGTAGTTTCTTGTCTGGCTCCCTTCTCAGGTAACATGGTAATAATAATGCACGGAGGGGACATTCAGTGCCTTTAGACTCAAGGATATATCTCTAGGGAAAGGGCAGGGCAGGGCCGGTGGGTTCCTGACATTGGAGGAAAGGTGCCTTCTGGGTCTGAGAGACAAAAACACCAAGGCAAAGAGAATCCTGCATCACACAGATGCTATGGTTCTCACAGGTTCACACCATACAGAAGGAACTGGGCATTCTAAACTCCCTCCGTAGGGCATGTGGTAGATACCATTCTTACTTACCAGGTCATTCTTCCATGTGGTCTCCAACACTGCAGGCATGCTGGAGGCCTGAAATGTACTATGTAGGCCAGTCTGCCCTTGAACTCTCCATGTTCCTACCTCCCAAGGAACATGCCTGAATGGTGACCTTTTATGATAACCCCCAGGCTGGCTGTACCCGTGTACCTTACTCACCAACAGCTAATCCTGGTGGGCCACCAACCAAACCACCGACGAAGGCCATTGCCCCCACAACCATGGCACCCCTTCCAGAGTGCTTGAAGGCCGCCTTCATTTTCCTCTCCTGGGAAATGGAGCATAGAAGCTTCATGATGTCATCTACCACGATGGGCATCTTGGAAGACCTAAAAAGATGATCCCAAGAGATAGGTGGGTTTTTGTGTTTACTCATTTTGTGTACTTTTGAAATTGTGTATACAGATGTTCTGCTGAACGCATGTCTATGCACTGGATGTGTGCACTGCCCTCAGAGGCTAGCGATCCACTGGAAATGGAGTTACAGTTTTGAGATAACACGTGGCTGCTGGGAATCATACCTCTGGAAGGCTGTCCACTGGGAGGCCAGCCAGTGCTCTTAACCTATGAGTCATAGCTCCAGCCCCTGTTTTTTGTTTATATTTGTTCATTTTGGATTGTTTGTTGAGATAAAGTCTTGTTACATACTCCAGACCAGTCTAGACTCATAATCCTTTTGCCTCAGGCTTTTGAGTGCTGGGATAAAAGGAGAGCACTGCCGTACCTTGTGGCTGAAAGGGAGAGTTTCCGTGAGCTTAAGAGTTTTTTGACCCAAATGTAACACTTTCTAGTATTTTAGAAAAAGCTCCTACCTTCTGGAAAGAAGGGTTGCTTGGCTGTATGCTTGCCAGACAGGCACACAACCCCGATGATGCCAAGAGGCTGGGCATGAGCTAACAAGCAAATGGAAGCAGCCGAGTGGATGAAAGGTCTTTCTTGCCCTCTGATTAGCTTCAGACTTCTGACAAATAAGGAAGCAGCCTCAGCCACAGGCTTTGCGAGGCCCCTCGAAAACTAAGCCTGACCTCTCTCACACCAACATCCCTTCAAGTGGCTCATGCAACCTTCAACGTATAAAGTGTGGCAAGAACAGGAAACTCAAAACCGCATGACCTCTTGCATGTCACCGGTATCTGGGAACAGCCAGAAAGGGGGGAAAGGACAAGACTCTGAGGCCACACTGGCATTTGCCTTCTGGGTAACGCAAAGCTAGGGGTAAGTAGGAGAATGAAGAGTGGCCGACTCAGAGCCTGCAGCACTGCAGACCCTTCTGGGACATTACAAGCAGAGGCAAGAGCTAGGTATGGTAGCACAGGGCTGCACTCTTGGTATGTGGGAAGCTAAAGCAAGAGGACCATGAACCCATGGCCAGCCTGGATTAGATAGCTAGACTTTCTGCCAAAATAAAGATAATAACGATTATTTAGTTAAGTAATAATAAAGAAAACCGGGAACAATGTGAATTAGCAAGATAAAATAATCACAGAACAAATAAACTGAAGCTCTCCAGAGGCGTGGCACAAGCTTGGCATGGGGGCTCATAGACAAAATGTTGGCACTAGCAAAGTAGAAGAAGGAAAGTCAGATGAGTCTGAGGCCAGCCTGAGGCTACATAGTGAAATCCAGGCTTGCCTGCACTACAGAGCTGTCTCTAAACAACAGACTTCCAGGGGCTTGCAAGATACATGAAATGACAGACAGCTCTTAAGAACAATGATCTAAAGAACAATTTGCTAGGATCAGGATGGGTTGTCTTGCTGGCAGGCAGCAGCATAGCCATGGGTAAGGTTCACTATGTCCCACAGAGAGACTGGTGGGCAACAAGAGCCCACTCGTCGACAGGCTAGAAGACTCGGACCTCTTTCACACTTGCTGTTCTCATAAGGCCGACAATGGTCAGCTAAAGAAACTGGCTGAGGGAATCCCCGGCTACTATCAACAGCCTTAGGTTAACCGGGCTTTCGTTGGTTGGTTTCTCTTTATGCCCAAGAATTATGCAGAATCAGAAACTCTTAAGGTAAAATTGTCCTCATAGCTCTGAGGGAGGTCTGAGCCCTTACAAGGAGCCCATGAAGCCACCATATTGTCACAAAGGCTGTGCTTAAGAACACTCCCAGGAGAAAGAAGAAGTATGCTGTGCTTTTGCTCCTTGAAAGGTCCCTTTTTCTCAGCCCCACCCCTTTTTGAGGCTTCTTCACTTGCTCCATAACATAGGCTAGCCTGGAACTCCCGGCCCTTCCGTATCAGCCTCCTGAGTCCTGGTTTTGTAAGTCTGCACCGTCATCTCTGACTTAACTTCTCCACTGTAAGAAGCTTCAGATGAATGTCTTCCTTTCAAGAGACTAGCCACCCACCCCCAATCCTGTAAGGTAGCTAATGGCTTCCCAGTTGAGCTTTGGTGCAGATCCAGCCTTTTGTCATTTACACTAGAAAAAGTCAGGTGCAGCCATGCTCAGAAGCCCAAGGCTTGTGCCATTCTGGTTCTGAAGCACACAGTACCACTCCACAGGGAAATTCTCTGCCAGACCTGCACTCTCAAAGTTTTTTTTTTTTTTTTTTTTTTTTTTCATAACAAGACAACACATGTGAAAGAGGTAGGACAGAGATGCATACGGTAGCTCTCTCGCCCCTAAGGAATACATTCTGAGACTCCAGCAGATGCCCGAAAACACAACTTGTCTGCCCTTCCAGCCCTGGTTTGAGCTTATGGAGCCATTATTAAGTAAAAGGAGGTTACGTGAGCTCTCCACACTACTTAAAATGAAACTGAAAACTCATGAACTGTTTATTTCTGAAACCTTTCACTTAATATTTGGCTGTGGGTAGCTGAAACTGAAGAAGGCAGAACCGTGGACTCGGGGGACAGGGCTACTGAACCCACCCACATCACCTTCGATTATCTACTCAGAGGCGCCTCCAAAGCTGCTCCGAATTACTTCAAGTCAAAACCCAGAGCAGGAAACGGTACCAACACACACATGCCATTCCCAACCCCACCTAGCCCAGGAAAGCCTGAGTTCAATCAAATGATGAGGGTTAAGGCTTCAGAGCTAACAGGCACCTCTATGTTCTTGATAGCAATCTTAGACAAGGCCAGGATTCCAGTCCCCAGTGTGGAGGGAGGGAGGAAGGTGTGTGTGTGTGTGTGTGTGTGTGTGTGTAGCAGGGATCGAAGCAGAAAGAGAACAGATCTTTGGCCAGAAGTCACTATCCTGCTCCCCTATTCCAGAATTGATAGAGCCCCCCCAAGCTGCACCCCCAAGCTGCACTCTGTCCTCTCTGAAGTTCATCATGCCGTTCTTCCACCCCACAAAGTAGTTTTTCAAATTAATCGACTGTTGGTATTTAAAAATAAGAACATATCGAGGGCGTGCTGGCGCACCCTGTAACCCCAGTACTGGGAAGGCTACGGGAGGAGGCCTGTCAGATCAAGAATAGCACTGGGTTACACAGTGAGACCCTGTCTCAAAATAACGGCGATAATAAAAATCTTACATATATCTCAGATTTTCCTGATTTCTCTTGAAAGATCAGAAGGCCTCAGGGGTAGGTTCACTACATAGTTCGCAAACTGGGCTGGCCAGGGGCTGACACCCCGTGTACTCAGCAGCGCCAATGCTCATCTACTTACTTACAACGCTTCTCAACCACAGCTCCAACTAATCTGGCCTCCTACGCCCCTGGCATCCCTTCCTAACCATCTCTAAGCTAGTGCTCGGGTTCCCTCCGGGTATGGGTCAGGCACCGCAGCTCGCTAGGCGCTAGGCGTCTGCTGTGGGAGCAAACGCACCGCGCACGCGCACTCCCGTGCAGCTGGGTTGCTGCAGGTTACGCGCTGAGCTAGCCCCAACTCCAACCTCGGCGCTGCAGCCAAGGTTTATCAGTGTTTCAGTGCCTGACACCGCGGAGTCCCCGATCGGCTCCGCAGACCCCGGCTTCCCCGCGCGTGCCTTTACCGTGCTGGAGTCTGGAACAACAGGGACACTGAGGCCTGCTCCTCTCTGCTCGCTCCGGAGAGGCTTTCACCGGCCACCGCCGCCCTGGCCCCGCCCTCCCACCTTCCGGCTCTGCGGGCCTTCCGGGTCGTGGTGCTCCGGATCCCAGCGGGTCTAGGTCCTCTAGCTTGGCCAGGCCTGGGGAAGGATCCTGAGGGCGTGGGGAGACTTCCCTTGCACCCTCTCGCGCCCCAACATCTGGTTGACTCACACCAAGACCGTGGCTAGGAAGCGATGAGCCTGTGGGAATGGGGAGCATCTGGAAGGGACTTTGCGTCCCGAGGGCCCGCTGCCTCCCTCGTTCCCCCCTCACCCCGTCCGCCCAGCCAGATCTATGCCCAACCTCGGGTCTAGAATCCGAAATCGCCCCTGGAAGGTTATCCCCGAGCACCCTTTGCCCTGGGTCTGTGACCCTTTCCCCCAGGGTCCTGGGCGTGGGAGGTGCTGAAGGGGGCTGAGGTGTAAAGAGCTAGTGGTTAATTAACGCTGGGGCCTGCGCAGCGTAGGGCGCGCAGGGGCTAGCCAGGCTCTCGGACCTCCTAGGGTCAGAAAGGAGGCCGTGCCACTTGGAGCTGCTCCGAAGGAGAGCAAAGAACAGCAGAAAAACCCGAGAGGCTCCCGAGGAGCAGTCCCCCACTTCTAACCCCAGGGACTCTAGGGCTGGCCTGGAACCATCCCAAATCCGAAAGAGGCTTCTTGTAGCTTTCCCAATACTGGAAACTTTAACCCTGAGCAAAGTCTTGCTGAGTAGGCATGGTTGTCTAGATAAACTAGATTGAGAGGGGCTGGACTAGCCAATGCCACCCAATTAGGAAGTGTGGCAAGTGGACTCTAGTCTGGGTCCGTATGGCCCCTGGCGCGCTCTGCCAGGGAGGCGATGGGGTTGGGAGGGTTGGGTGGCTTCTGCGGGCCCACAGATGATTTCCCACGCAATGTTTTATTATTTGTGGTCTTTCCTGTCCTCTTGTGAGAAAGCTTTGAAATCCTTTTAATACCAAGATCTTCCTGGCTAGAGTGGAAAATCCTGTCCGTTTTCGAAGAGGAGCTTTTGCCTGAGTTTGGGTGACTTTCAAGAGCCAAAGTTAACTGGGGCTAAGAATAGATGAGCTCGCTCCTCATAGCCTGCCTACGCCGAGTGTTCCCCGCGGGCAGCACCCCCTGGCGGCACTTTAGAAAACGGGACTCTCCTGTTGTCTCCTTTGCCTAAGAATAGCAAGTAGGAGAAGCAGGGAGGAGAGATGCTGGAAGCAAGCGGCAAAGTTCAGTGGAGAACGAGAGGCAAGGCTATAAGATATTCACACAGACGATGAATGAAATCACAAAATGATCACGCTGAGGGCTCGACGCGTCATAGACAGCCCACTGGCGGCTAAGGTCGTTTGGGAAGGAGATCCATCACTTGGAGGTCTGAGGCAGAATAATTAATGGTACACACTTTTAATCCTAGCCCTTGGGAGGCAGAGGTAAGCAGATCTCTTGAGTTTGGGGCCAGCCTAATCTACATGGAGAATTCTAGATGGCCAGGGCTTCATAGTGAGACCCTGTCTCAAACAAACAAAACCAACAAGAGTTTGAAGCCAGCCTAGGCTGTATATGGAGACCTTGCCTCAACCTTCTTCCCTCCTAACCCCAAATTCATACACTGAAAGCTACTGGTAGTGGGACATTGGAAGGTGCCTAATGACCTCGTATAAGAGGCCTAAGGGAGCTTGTTACTTCTCCATTTATGAGGTGCTTGGCCTCACTAGACATGGAACTGGCTGGTACCTTAATCTTGGACTTCCCGGTCTCCAAAGAAATCAGTTCAGTTGTTCATAAATCCCTACCCTGGCTGTTTTGTTACAGCAGCCAGAAGGGACTAAGATACTCCCCTGAGCCTGTAGGAAAGACTGCTTCCTGCCTTTTGCTTCTGGCAAAGTCACAGTCTTTCTTTAATGACCCTTGGCTTGCAGTGTCAATCTTCTCTGTTGCTGCATGGCATTTTCATGTCTGTGTGTGTGTGTGATGTGTGTCTGGTGCACTGGTGTGAGTGGGTAGGTTAGTGCACCCGTGTGTGTGTGTGTGTGTGTGTGTGTGTGTGTGTGTGTGTGTGTGTGTGTGTGTGTGTGTGTATGGTCTATATGTGTCTGGTGCATGCATGTAAGACATGGGGGTTTCTTCCTCTGTTGCTTGCTACCTGATTGCCTTGAGTTGAGGCCGCTTACTGAATCAGAATCTTGCTGTTTCAGCTAGGCAGGCACGCAGTGTTGAAGCCCAAGCCATGTGTTAAAGACATGGGGGTTAAGGACTCAGACTCGGGTCCCCATGCTTGCACAGAAAACACCTAGCCATGAGGCCATCTCAATTCCCCATTCCCTTGCTCCTATAAGGACTCAGGTCATAGTAGCTAAGAGCCCACCTTCATGACCTCATTTTTACATGATTGACTACATCTATAAAGACCCTACTTTCAAATAAGGTTACATACACAGTGACAGATCTGGGACTCCATGTCTTTGCAGGAAGATAACTATTCAGCCCGGTAGTTGAATGAGAATAGCCCACGCAGGCGCATATGTTTGAATACCCCGTCTCCAGTTGATAGAACTGCTTTGAGAAGTGGTCTTGTTGATGAAGGTGTGTCACTGGGTGTGGGTTCTGAGATTTCAATAGACTGGTCGCCAACACAGTGTGCTCTCTGCTTCCTATTTGTGGATCAAAACACGAGCTCTCTGAGGCTGGAGAAATGGCTCAGAGGTTAAGAGCACTTCCTTCTTTTC